ATAAAAATAAAAAATATTGAAATCCCTAAGTATTTTATAGACCAATATGGAAAAATAAATCATGAACATTTCAACATCCTGTGCATTAAAATTAGGACCTTACAGATAGATTTCCATGCCCTCCACACAGGGGTGACCTGTACATACATGAAGTGATATGCACACTTACACATGATGGTGATGTCCCCACATCCATGCACACACTCCTCATGTCACTGAAGGGAGCACTTCCAAGGGCACATGTTCTTGGGTTCAGTCCCTGTGAAATGTGCACAGTAGGGAACACAATGCAGACAGGAGGGACTTGGGGGCCACAGAGGCTGAGTGCAGGAGGACACTGGCCTGACCACTAGTGGTTCAAGGGATTCTCTGCAGGTGATGGAAATGTAAATTGAATCATGATGGTAGTTTTTCAACTCCTTTAAATACACTACAGACCACTGAATTGTACACTTTAAATCAGTGAAATTCATGGCATGCACATTATCTTAATGCATTTGTTTTGGTTTTAGGGGGAAAAATATAAGAGGAAGCTACTGTCACTCTCCCTGTAAAGTTATTCTGTGCTTAGTCAGACACTCAGACCCTCCAAGGTCTCCACAGTCTCCCTGTTTGCTTTTCACACATAGTCATATGTGTAACTATGGGGTATAGAGGGTATATATATAGAGGGTAACTATGGGGAATAGAGGCAGGTTTTTGTCTCAGATCCCATGGGCCTGTAGCTCTGTGTCATTGTTGATGTCATCCCATGCTGAGCAGTAATAATTAGCCTCATTCTCAGGCTGCAGGTCAGAGATGATCAGAGAGGCTATATCCCCAGTGTCAGAACCAGAGAACAGAGCTGGGATTCCTGAAGGCCTAGTGGTTCCCAGCACCACAATTTTGGGCAAACCATGAGAAATCTGTTGGTACCAGTCTACATAACATGTCCAAAATTGTTGCTGTTTCTAGTCAGGTGAGGGTGACCCTCTGTCTCACAGACCCTGACATGGGTCAGGGCAGACTGTGCCCAGGACCCTGCAACAGAGCAGTGGGGTCACACACAGGTGAGTCTCAAGTTACTGTCCACAAGGTGTTCTCAAAAAGTGGAAAGAAATCCCCAGGGGTCCTCATAATCACTTCCCCTACTTCACAGAGCCAGTCACCAGAGCAGAGAGTGAGGGGGGTGATGAAGAGAAGGGTCTAGGCCATGGTGGATATGACCCATGCTCTGCTTCTGAGCCCACAAGTGAGAGGTCTGCACAAAGCCTCTTATCCTCTCCCCTTCTGGAAGAGCAGAGAGGGCCCTTCATGCAAATCACTCCCTACCCTGGGGCCTGAATTTCGGGAAACCTGATTTTGGGCAGGCCTGGGGAACCTATGCGGGGCCCCAGTGAGCACAGAGCAGAGGGCACAAGGCAAGGCTCCAGGCCTGGGTGCCTAGCTGATCCCACATCCCAACTCACAGACCACAGAGACAAGCCCACAGTGTCCCCTGCTGTCTCAGATTCCAGATTCACCACTGAATGAGATGGACATCCTGGCACTGAGCAGAGAGAGGGACACTCTGGACCTCAGCCTCCCTGACTCATCACCCACCCCCACACAAAGTTGGGGGCTTCTCATTCCCCAGGGGCTTCTTCCTGTGCTACACGTGCCACCATTCCTTAGCCCTTGCTTCAGATACATGGCCTCCTCAGCATGAATCACATTGTGCTCCTCCCAATATTTAGATGGTTGTTGGGGCCACAGGTGAATGGCCCCTCAAGAAGGATGTATCCTGTACCCAGAGAGAAGTGCAGAAGGCACTCACTTCCTTTCCCAGGCTCTACAGGGGGACTGCAGGGGCAGCCAATCTCTGTCTCATCAGGACACTTCCCACCAGAGCCAAACAGCCCCCATAACTTTCTGCTCTGTTTTTGATGGGGCAAAGTTCATTATTAACCATACACAGGGAATTCTTCAAGGAGAGACCAGAATTATAAAGAGTGAAATGTGGTTCTTCTGTGTCTCCTCTCTGAGAGCACCCATAGGAGATGGTCAACAACACAGCATTCCCAGTATGCAACCAGGAGCCCCCAGCCCTGAGGGGAGACACCTGGAGTGAATGAGCCTCATGCACAAGAAACTACTAGTCTTATTCAGATGGCACTGTACATTTGGGAACATGCAGAGGGATGGGAGTTTCTTTTTTTTTTTAAGATTTTATTTATTTATTTGACAGACAGAGATCACAAATAGGAAATCACAAGTAGGCAGAGAGGCAGGCAGAGAGAGAGGAAGGGAAGCAGGCTCCCTGCCAAGCAGAGAGCCTGATGCGGGGCTCGATCCCAGGATCCTGGGATCATGACCCGAGCCGAAGGCAGAGGCTTAACCAACTGAGCCACGCAGGCGCCCCGGGATGGGAGTTTCAAGGACATCACTCAGTCTCATGGCCTAGAAATTCCTGGCGCCATAAACCTCTGTCTTCAGTGTGAGATGTATTTTAATTGCTCACCAGATCCCTCTCTAGTCCTTCAATGTGCCAGACATGGTTGCACTCATGCTCTAAATATTAACACAATTATTTTCCCCAGTGAAGTTAACTAATCCATTCTGCACTGATAATGGCAGTTTATACTTATATATTATATAAATATAATATATTTCTCTTCAACAACTCTCAGTTAATATCGAACAGTATGACCTATTCCTACAAATGCTTAATCGTCCCTTCTGAACTTCACATGAAATATCTGATCACTGTCTTTCATAGCAAGTCAGATAAAACCCGAACATGTGCCCATGTCCTTCACAATATTGTTTTTCTCCTTGCAGCACTAAGTATGTGGAGCTTGCTGATACTTAGCTGGTGCTCAGTAAATACTTTTGAATTAAAATAAATAAACCAGCAAATGAAAAAAAATACAAATATCCACCTCTTTAAATTATGGCTAAAATATCTATCTCCAGCTTCATTTCAGACCATCATTATCAACTCATTCTTAACCATAGATATTGGTGTTGTCTTAGACACGTAGTTATACCTCACAGAAAATCTCCATATAGTTCCTAATTACAGTGCTTTCCACAAAAAAATAAATAAATAAATAAAGTAAAATAAAATAAAAGGCCCCTGTTACCTAAAGCAATCTATACATTCGATGCATTTCCTATGAAAATTCAAGTGACATTATTCTCAGAAATTAAAAAAAAAATCCTGGGTTTTGTGTGGAGTCACAAAAGTCCTCAAATTGCCAAAGCAATCTTGAGAAAGAAGAACAAAGATGGAAACACCATACTTCTTGCTTTCAAATTATATTATGATGCTATAGTATTGAAAACAGCATCATACCGGCCTAGAGACACACGGATTAATTCCACAGAATACAATAAAAAATTAAAAAACAAAAGCAGAAAAAGATACAAGTTCCCTTTGACCATCAGGGAGGACATAGGCTGAAAACAGGGACTTTGGGAGGACTCTGGAGGAGACCTTACATGGTGTTTCAGATAGAAACATACATGAATCATATAGCAGATGCCCCAAATGAGATCCTCATGTTCTCACTGAGGTTTCCTGGTACATTTTGGGTGTCAAATCTGGAATCACTGGACACCCTACAGTGCATACATTGATGCCCATGCCATGGTAGGCACAGTGCGTCCACATGGCCAATCTGGGGTAGGGAGCACAGCCCAAATGATGCTCTTGAGGTGGGACAGGCCACATCTGCCAAGAGCCCCCATCGATGCTGCCCTCTGCTCTCTGTTGTTTCCTGCATTGACATGGGCTCCTGGAACCTTGGTTCCTCTGCCATATTCAGGTAACCCGTTTTCCTATTGGGTGCAGTTACTGCTTGGGATGATGAAAAAGTTCTAGAAATGGCTAGTTGTGATGAGTACACAATGTTGAGAGTGTACTTAATATCTCTGAATTGCACATTAATGAATGATTGAAATAGTGAAGTTTCTGATATATATATAATTATAAATTATTAGTTGAGCATCAAATTATATTAAAAAGGTGTATGCATACAAATCTCCTTTACATACTTATATGTGTTACCCTATTCTAAAACATCCTCATTACTAAAAATGTGTAGCAATTTTTTTATGTAGACTCCACATATAAATGAGATAAAACAGCATTTGTCTCTCCCTGTAGATCTTATTTCACTTAGCATAATGTCTTGCAGTTCCAACCATTTTTCACAAATAGCAGGACATCTTCCTGGAAAGACTCACGGGGTGGACTTCCTTTTTGCACTGGTGGGGGAGATTTGTTCATGGTGCTCCATAGCCCCCCTATTGTGTGGATCCCTGAAAAGCCCCACTGTGGGAGGAAAGGGGAAGAGGACACAGCCAGGACCTGTGGGTTCAGGAAATCTGCTGCAGGGGTGCACACTGGCTCTGACAGGGTCAGCTGTGTGTCCCTCACATCTGTGGGATCTACTTTACCCACCTTCCCTAGAGTAGTCTCAGCATTTTATAGCAATGCTAGAGTCTTACTCTTACCCTCACAAGTCCCACAGAGAAGTCTGCTAACTGATACTCACAGTTCCTCCCAGGGCTAACTACCCTCTCCTGACATCGCAGCTCAAGTGATAGATTCCCAGCCCCTGTGTCAGGCCAGCTGTGAACCTGGAATGCCTCCTGTTCTGAGTCCTCGATCTGCACCATCCTTAGTGCCTTGTTCCTGAGACACAGAGCTGCTTAGCCGTCCCTGAGCACAGGAGCCTGGAGGGAAGGAAGGTCTCTGCTCTGAGCCCTGGAGGAACAGGGTCCAGGCTGTGGAGAACTATCTGCCTGCTGGGATGATCTTTCGGCTCTGAGCAGGAAAACTAAGGAAAGTTTGTGTCTTTATAAAGAGGGAGCAAATGCCAGCTCAATAGGCTCTGATTTTCACACTTTCAATCAGCAGGTGAAATTTCTGCATTACTATGAGTTTTTAGTTGTATTTTTTTTAATTTTTTTTCCTCTGAGAGATCACTTAGATTGCATAGGAAACTGGGTAGAAAGATATCTTGATCTACAAGTTACTTCCAAGTATAGTCAGTGTGAACTCTAGTTATTTTAAATTGGAAGAAAGTCATAGCACAAGAGTCTGAGCAGGCTGAGGTATTTGTCCCACTTCCCCATCTGTGTGTGTCACTGTGACCAGCACCACTGTGCCAGACTGCACAGTAATAGTCAGCCTCGTCTTCAGGCTGCAGCCCAGAGATGAGCAGAAGCCCTGCATTGGCCGAGGTATCCTTGGAGCCAGAGAAGCGACTGGGAATCCCAGGTCCCAGCTCTGTACTTGAGTAGTAGTACAAGAGATACTGGGGAGGGCTCCCTGGCTTCTGCTGGTACCAGTACATGTTTTTACTACCAACACTGATGTCCCTGCTCAGGGTGCAGGTGAGTCTGACTGTTGTTCCCGGAGATGCAGAGAGTGAGGGCAGCTGGGTCAGCACAGGCTGGGACAAAGATCCTGCAAATACAGACACTCATGGGCGATGAAATTATAAGTGGGAAAAACAAAACAAACAAACAAAGAAACAGAAAACAAAAAACAAAAAGCCTCAAAATCCTGAACATGGAAAATGTCATATGGGGCCCCCTGTGTCCTGAGGCCTTTTTCTACCTTTGCAGAGAGACAGGAGCATGAAGAGGACAGGAATCCAGGCGACATGGTGATACAGACCCTGGTCTGTGACACAGACCCTGGTCCCCACAATGGGCTGGTCTGCCCCAAGCTTCCTTTTCTCCTCTACCCTCTGCCACAGGAGGGGCTGTTCATGCAAATGATGTCCACCCAGTGACAGCCCAGCTCCTCCCTGAGCCCTGGTGGTGGAGCTTAGTTCACACCACACACTGAGGAGGATGGTGTTTGGTTTCACCCCCGGGAAGTACCTGCTGAGACCACATACAGCTCCCTCTCAGGGGACTCTGCCAGACCAGAGAAGACACAGCTGCTGAGTCCCCATCAAGGAGAGCAGGTCCCAGTCCCCAGGTCATTTCCCTTGAGTGAATGTACCCCCAGTAAACCGCCATATAAGGATCACAGGGCACTCCCACAGCTCTCCCTGCTGGTCGCAAGTTGTCCCTCTGTCCCAAAACCCTGAGCGCCCAGCTGATTTCTGCAGCTCCTCAATTCCCTGTGTATATGCACATCCATCGTACAATTCTTAGTACTTTTCTTCTGCCCTCTGAAAATACATCATTCCAAGGGTCTTTAGTAAGCCACGATGGCATGAGACAAAGAAGCAATTAACATTAATTTATATGCACAAACTTTTGCATGTTTCCAGACTCAAAAAGGCTTTCCTAGGCTTCTCTAATACCTAAGGATACATTTTGCTGTCAGATGTACAAAATAAATAGAGATAAAGCAAATATGATAACATGATATATGATAACTGTTCAAAGTGCTGGTGTCCTGATACTGAGAGGCTCGTGTGTAGTTGCCAGGGAAGGAGCTGGATGGCTCCCTTCCAGCTTTCTAAGTGGTGCATTATCTTGTAGAGTCTCCCTGAAAAACAAATGTTGAACGTTAGTTTGGCTTTTCTTTCTTTTTTCTATTAATATAAAACTGAAAATCCACTTCAGATTTCTTTTATCTGTAAAAGTAGGTACTTATGTAAATGTTTCATAAAAGCTAAGTGGTGTAAAGAGAACTTACAATGCTCGGTGACACCTGTTCTAGGATTCTGATGCAGTGCTTGCTCCCTGTAAGTTCTCACTCCATGCGGAGCCCTAGTCCATAAGATGTGTAAATATATGCATATATAGTTAGTTAGAGGACATTCTAGATAATGCTGAGTGACCCAGGTGTGCATCAGGTCGGGCGGGGGGACACCTGAATGGGGGGACACCTGAGCTGCTTTGAAGAAATTGTATGGATTCTTTCTAGGAAAGGCATAGACAGGGAATTGTGTAGGAATATAAGCACTCAGTGTCATATTTCAAAAAGGACAATGCAGCAAACATTTGAAAATATTGCCTTGAATGTGTTGATGGAGATTACATTTGATTTAATGGTGGGCGAAGAAATAAATACAAATAATGGATTTTGTTGGGTTCACAATTACCCATCAAGAGGAATTGAGTTCATAATCCCAAGTTTATAGGTTCTACTTATCTGTGTCATATATTCTTGGCAGGAGTTTGTCTTAGGTGTCATAAAATTTCTTTATATTAAAAAAAATTTACTTATATTTTTTGATGTTTTGCTTAGTTTAGTAGAAGTTAAATGTGGGATGTTATTGTTTTCCAGATGTGTTCAATGTCTGACTAGTTGGTTCCATAAATTTTCCCTTCCTCAGTGCCCCAGGGTTATAGCTCAGATTTCACTGTGCACATGTTCTCCAATAATCCAGATTCCAAGGCCTTCTAGTAAATTCCTGTGAGGAGGATTGCCAGCTTTCCTCAGATACTCTCTCCTAAGGGCAGGCATAGGGATCTTACTCACTGAGCTCAGGCAGGTACTCCCTCTAGTGACACTCCCATTGCTCTTGGCAGAAAACCAAAACCCTGCACTTCACAAAGAGGCCTTCATGCTCTGGCCCCATCCTTCATGCAGCCCTACCCCTTGCTCTCTGGCACCCAACTTCTCTCTTCCTGTTATTTCAAAACCCCGAATATCAGCCCTTTCCCTGGTCTCTCAGCCATGTCCTCCTCATTCTTTGGGGAGATGGGTTTCCACTTGTAATGATGGAAAAAACATGTATTTTGGAACTCTGAGTGTCAGTCAGTGGCTCTTCATTACCTGATACACTCACATCACCACGGAAGGCAAAGAGAATATATATAAATATATAAATGTAAATATATATTCATATTCAAGAGATGAGAAATAAGTATATATTTATATATTTATATTTAACATAAACTATAAAGAACAGCTTGCATCCATATTCAATAGCAGATCATAGATATAACTCATCTTGATGACTATCCTAATATCTTTGTCCTTTGTCCTGCTCCCTTCCTGAACATGAAAGAATTCCAAGCACTCCATCATCCATATATGGCATATGAACCTAATGAGCTCTAGCACGTTACCTACATGTTCAACGTGCCAAAAGTCTTGCACACAAAAAAAGGGATTCCACCTACTATCACATCAATGTATGTGTGTTGTCTTTCATCAAATCTCAGGATAAAGAAATAAACTGAATATCTCTAGATTTCAGATAACATGAAATTCTCAGTAAAGCCCAGAATGGCAACAGGGTGCATGTAGGGGGTTGGGCAGAGGATCACCATGTTCTCCTGGGTCACATATCCTGACCCACAGCCCTTCTTGTCATTGTCACCCAGCAATTATGAGGGTTATTTTGCTTTTGGAAACAAAGTAATTCTATTGCATTGGGAGACCAATACCTATAAAATGCTATTTTTTATTCACCTCACAAACATCCACAAAACCTAAAGCATGAAGTTTTCTGATCTCAGTAGAACACATAACAGTAGAAACCATAATCTGAGGTGCGTTTGATCCCAGACAGGAACATGGGAATGTTGGATAGAGACAGGAATAAGGCTAGAGAGTACGTTATTACACTTGCCCATGGACCAGGAGCTCTGAGTGACATTTGGTTGTATCAGCTCTATAACAAAGTTTATCAGCCTCTCCTCATGATGAAGCCAAGAAATAGTAAAACAGTTCCTGATAACACAGTTGGATCTGGAGAATGAGGTTGGAAATAAGGATGGCCCTTCATGCTGTCCCAAGTACAAGCATAGGGACTCAGTCTGCACCTTGGTAACAATTTCATGTGAAATCCCACGTTTCTTCTCTCCTATGCGAGTGATGGTGGCCTCAAATTTGGAATCATCAAGAACTTCACAGGGGCAGTGACACATGCACGTAAGGGGTTGGGGGGGTGTTCCTGATCTGTATGTCCTACAGCCTGACCTCACAGAAGCTCTAATAATGTATAGGGAATGAGCAGGACACAGACTCTGACTGGGGGGGGGTGAACAGAACACAGACTCTGTGGGCTCAGAAAAATCCATCTGGGGTGCCCATGGACCCTGAGTACTGTCAGTTATAGCAGAGCCTTATCCATGGACCCCATTCCCCCAACTTTTCTGGGACGTGCTCTCCCTTTTCCAGCCATTATGCAGAATCTACCATACTCTCTTGGATCATAAGAGGATTCCTAGCCTCAAGGCCTCAAATTTTCCATCTCCATAACTTCACAACTGAAATCTCAGATACCTAGCAAGTATTACAAGCCAACTCCTCAAAGGTCTGGATTCTCACATAACATCTCACAACCCAGAGCATCATCCATGGGGCACACTGAACCTTGGCCAGTCCTGAGCACAGGATCCTGGAAGGGAACGTAGCCTGTCTGCTCCGCCACCTGGAATGGCAGAGTCCATGCAGTAGAAGGCTGCCCACCTGTTGGGATGCTCCCTGGGTTATGTTGAGAATAAAGGCAAAGAAAGCCTAGTTTTCCTTATTTCAGGAGAAAAAAATTGCAGGTGCACAGAATCTGTTTTTATCCCAGAGGAAAAGCCATGAAACACCATCATCATCACATTGAAGTATTTGCTGATATTTTTGTTCTACTTTCTTAAAGCCAAGGCATCACTGAATGGATAATTGAGAGTAGAACCATCATGAACCAAGTAGGAAACACAATTACAGTTTGTGTATGTACATTTTTTGCAAGTTTTGAGTTGCCATTGAACAAGACAGCAAGTGGAGGGTTCAGTCCCAGGTCTCCATCACCCTCTGTTACTGTGAGAAGCACTGCTGTCCAATCACACAGTAATAGTCAGCATTGTCCTCAGGCTGCAGCCCAGAGATGAGCAGAAGCCCTGCATTGCCTGAGACAACTTTGGACCCAGAGAAGTAGCTGGAGACCCTGTATCACATCTTCATTCTTGAGTCTGAATAATACCAGAGATACCATGGAGGGCTTCCTAGCATCTGCTGGAACCAGTATACACAGTAGATCCCTACACTAAAGCCAATGCTCTGGGTGCAGGTGAGTCTGACCGTTCTTCCCTGACATGCAGAGAGGGAGGACAGCTGAGTCAGCTCAGGTTGAATCAGAGAACCTGCTAACACAGACACTCATGGGTGATGGGGTAATGAAGTTGGGTGTTTCTTCGTCTTGGCACTGATAATGTCTGGGACCTCACCCAAAAGTCTTATTTGGCACTACCTGAGCATAGAGGAGGAGGAAAAGGAGGGAAATATTCTAGGCCTGGTCAATGGTGACACAGACCCTAGTCTCCACAGTTGGATTGGGTTGTCCCAGCATAGTCTTTTACTTCTTACACTCCACAGGAAAAGTAATTTGTTTATGCAAATTTGTACCACCTTACAGACTCTTTCAGAGTCCATGTGATCACTAATTCAGGACCTGAGGACAGAAGAATCCAAGGGCATTTCTTATTCTGAGTCAGACCTAGGAGGGGGTGGGGGGAGCAGGAGGCAGCTGTGGGGACACCCACAGAACCCTGCACAGGACCCTCTGCCAGGCCTGAGGGACCAGCCTGCTGGATCTCATCAGGGAGTACAGAGGGCAGCTCAGCCTCTGCCAGTCCCTGAGGGTAGGGGGCTTCCCCAGCTGTGAGGGTGCCAGGGCAGGGCCCAGGGAGATGCGTGGTACCCCTCCTGCTTACATGTCCACCTTCAGGGTCCTCAGTGTCCTGAGGTTACTATCTACACCTGTGCCACCAGCATTCAACGGTGACTTAATGTGTGAAACACTGTCCTGGGTCTGATTTAAAGAACATGGATACACGTTTGTGATTTGAGAGGCTTACAACACAGAGGAAATGGTCATCCAGAAGTAAACAAGACAACAAATGGAGGGCCTCAAATTTTCCCTCTCCATAACTTCCATAACAACTGAAAGCTCAACTGAAAACTCCTGAGATTGTAAGAGTATGTTTAAACCATGAATCATATAAAAGAATGAGATTATCTCACCCATGGGATATTTAGGGAACTCCTCACAGGAAGGTTTCACAAATGTCTCAGGAGAGGAGTGACTGCATTCTCTATATTAGGCTCATAGAAGAAAAAAAATCAAAACATGGTGTGAAGATGCTCAAACCATGAAGGGATGCGACAATTTCACACACGGGGAAATCATCTGTTGACACTGTGCACAGGGGAAGACAAAGGTGGACACAGCTGGTCAGAACTGAAGAAACCATGTGATCAGGGAAGAACAACTGAGGCAGAAAAACAGGAGGATGGGATGCAGATGGTTGTGCTCACAGGAGATGCTCAGGACTGTGGAGCAGAAAGAACTCAGGGAGAGAAGGAGGAAGAGTATACAGTGTGAAGTGATGGTGTCTGCTTTGACTGGACCATTAGGTGGTGCTGCTGTTTACAGTGGTGGAGCATTAGATAATGAGATACTTCTCTGTTCATAAAATTGTTGCAGATCTGAGAAACAAGTAGAAATACTGAATTCCAAGCCCAGAAATGGTGGACCTTGACCTTATGTGGCAGCAAGCAGTGACTGCGGTTTAAGGCACGTGTCCAAGTGTGGTGAGCCATTCTGAATGTGGGTGGGGACACTTAGGAGGGACAAGAGCCTAGGACATAAATCTGGGCACTATCCCCATGTACAGAATGGGTGAGAAGAGTCCAGGAGGCAGAATCCCTTAGTCCAGACGTGTTCCCATGTTCAATCTTTTTATTATTCCCACAACTTGTGTGTTAGTGACATCCTGCCTTCTCCCCAGGCTCCCAAGAGGTGAGCTGGCCATCAATTTAGGTGAAGCCAGCCCCTCTTTGTCTTTCCTGTGTAAATGTCCCAGGGGGAGTGAAGACAGTGAAGAAGTGTTCTTTGGTGATATTTGCAGACCTTCACACCCCAATGGTGGCTCAGGAGGAGGCACGAGGATACATGAACGTGGAGCATCCAAGGTCAGGTTGAAGTGTCTGGGACAGTGGGCATCAGGAAGAAAAACCCAAACATCTCACCCCATCTGCACATCCCAGGACCTCCAGCCACAGGAAGGCATAGTAGCATGTTCTCTCTCACACCCCTCAGCTCCCAGGGGAAGGACTCTGCCCCTCAACTCCATTTCCTCTGTTTGGTATCTGTCATGGGGAGTGGGCTAGGAGGACCAACCTGAACACTGAGGTCCTGAAAATGAAGTCAGCTAGACACTGGGCCCACATTCAGTCAGGGGATGCTTTTCTAGCTTCCATGGCCCACAGAGCCTGAGGACAGTCTCATAGTGCCCCTCTGTCCCAGTCCTATTCCCCTGCTATCTGGGATGAAGGATCTGGAGCCCAGAGCAGAGAACACATCACCTCCACTGCTGTGGATCACCTTGCCACTATCCATGGGGGCAGGCCACACAAGGATATTCCTTAGGCCTCAGCCTCATGGCCACACTCAGCTCAGAGTCCCCTGCTGTGGCTCCTCACTGAGGTCTGTCTCCAACTGTCCCCACTGCTTCAGTGCTACCTCCACTACTTTTGTGAGGAAGGGAGGGTGTCGGCAGCAAACACAGTTCAGGGAGCAAAAGGACAATGACACACTTCACCTGTCCAACATGTGACCCAATCCCATGATCTTAGAATCACAACCCAAGACAAAACTGAGTTGGACACAAAACAAACCAACCCCTCAGGCATGCCTAGATTTCCTTTCCTTTCCTTTCCTTTCCTTCCCTTCCCTTCCCTTCCCTTCTCTTTTCTTTTCTGCCCTGTCCTTTCCTTTTCTTTTCTTTTCTTTTCTTTTCTTTTCTTTTCTTTTCTTTTCTTTTCTTTTCTTTTC